GACAGGGTCAGCGCCCTCAAACGATGGCTCAGGAGCTGGGGATGGAGCAAATTCTCCCAGAAGCTAAAAATATCTGGTTTAGGTGGGTGAGAGGCACAGGAGCATCAGGATGGCAAAGCCCCCCTGGTGTGCAGGCTGAGGGGGCAGCAAACAGGAGGCACCCCGAGTTTTGCCTTGGTGCAGAGTAGTGGTTTGGCCCAGCTCAGTCTATTTGGGTGGTGGCTGGGCTGTCTAGCACCAGCCCTGGCTCCTCCTGTCCTCGGTGGCTTGACAGGGGCTTGGCACCACTGCCCATGCCCTCAGCACGCTGGTGTGCTGTGCAAGGGGTGAGGCCCTGGCATGCCCCGCTCACGGCACCTGCCATGGCTGTGTGTCCCCTGCACTGCTGCAGGGACCCCGGTCCTCACCTTTGTACTTGGTGACAACAGCCGAATTGATGCTCAGGGGCTCCCAGAAGGTCACCTGCACCGAGGAGCTGCTGGCCACGGAGAGGTGGACGTTGGTGGGGGCATCCGGCACTCCTGGGGACAGAGAGCGCAGGGACCACTACAGTGAAGACGGTCTCTCTGAACCCCTCGGTGTCCCTTGTGGGCCTCCCCCTGCACCGAGGGACATGTCCCCGGGGTGCTCACCCCCCGTGCACCCATACAGTGAGCCCTGGCTATAGGGGGCGGGGGTCCTCTGACAGGTGCTGGTGCAACCCCGTGCCTGGACCACGCATAACCCTGCTCCCTCACCCCAGCCTGGGGGCTAACCCCAGGCCCCCCAAGCCCTCCTGCGGGCACTCACGGGCATGCTCAAACCCTGCCTTCATGCGCTTGTAAAGCCGGTATCGCCACTCCCAGGCCCTGAGCTGCTTCTCCTTCTCCGAGCAGTCGGCGTTGGGCGCCTCATTCACCACCTGCGCCGTCAGCTCGTTGACGCGCTGCTCTGCTTCCCGCACCAGCGTGGAGAGGTGCAGAGAGCGGCTCTCCAGGCTCACGACTGTGGGGAGGGTGGGCACGGCCGCAGGTCCCGAGAGAGGAGCCAGGAGGAGGAAGAGAAGGTGGTTAGGACAAACCCAGGCTCTGCTGGCCCCAAGTCCCCACACTGAGACCCCATCCTCTCCTCCGTGTCCTGCTCCCAGGCTCCACTCGACCCTAGCTACAGCCTGAGCCAGCTGCCTGAGCCTGGTGAGCATCTCCCCACCTGGACCCCAATGCCTGGGCTGGACACCCAGGTGACGGGCACGGCTCTCCCACAGCAACTCACAGTGTGGGCTCTCCTTCGCTCCTGCCTGCAGCAGGGCCCTGGCGATGGGAGCGTTGTTGGTCATGATGGCGATGTCCAGGGGCAGCAGCCCCTCGCTGTTGGGGGTGTTGAGGTCCAGCTCCTCGGGGCTGTACTGCTTCAGCAGCTCCTGGACCCTGTCTAGATCCTGCAGCTCCACAGCCTCAAAGAGAGCAGCATTGCTCTGGAACTGGATAGAGGGAGAAAGGCAGGATGGCTGAGCACGGGACACCCTCCTCCACCCCACCCAACCCCCCAGCCCTTCACCAGCACCCCACAAACCCAAACAAGGGGGCTGCTCTGGCCCTAGGGGCTCAGGAGAGTCAGCTCTTTGCAGACATAGGTGGATAACACCGAGCAAACACCCGGAACAGCCCTAGCTGAGCCTGCTCCAGCACAGCTTCCACCAAGGTGTCAGCATCAGCCATGCACCAGACCCTCCATCCCTCTCTTCCTGGCCATGGCCACGCGAGATGGAGCCAGTGGGCACTGACCAGGTAGGACTTGCGGAGCTTCTCCTTCTCGCCCCGTCCCGCCAGGCTGCCCTCGTCAAAGGATGTGTAGTTGACGCGGAATTTCCCTGACAGGTTTCGGTAGAGCCTCTTGGCTGCATTTGGTGAAGAAGGGCCCGGCGGCTTCCTGGCCTGCGCCAGCTGCAGGTCCCGCATCTGCTGCGTCATTTTAGGGGAGGATGACCTGGGAAAGGGCAAGGAGGTGTGGGGAAAAACAAGGCATGGAGGACATGCCAGAAAGGCAGAGGCACATCTGCAGCATCAGGACTGAGGCACAAGCCAGGAGAGCCAGAGAAGTGTCAGGGAGGCACCGACGTGCGCAGCGGCAAGGCTCACAGTGCTGGTGCCAGCAATGTCTTCATCCATCCGTTATCAGCTGAGTCATCTCCCCTCCCCATCACTGCTGCTGGTCCGGGGGGGGGTGCCAGGGGCTTTATGGACCCTGCACGTGAGACATTTACTTCCAGACCCAGGGCCACTCTGGGCCCACACTGCCCTTGATCTGGGATGCCCCAAGCAATGAGGGCTGCTCAGCTCTGCAACCAGTCCCCATCCATCACACCAGGGAAATCTCTCCTGACTCCCAGCCTCCACCATCCAGCTCCTCCAGAGATGGGCTGTCCCATCCAGGACTGCTCAGACCCCCTCGACAGTGGGGGTCACAGCCCCCCAGCAGTGCCAGCTGAGGGCTGCCCACCACTCAGTTGTCTTGGGATGACCTCACGCACCGTCTCCACAACCATCCTTCTAGCAAGAACTGTTTCCTGCGCTTATCACCATCCCTCAGCTCTCTTCGGTACATGACTTTCTCCAGAGTCTTTATTCCAGCAAATAAAGAGAAATGAGAGCAGGAAATGGACAAAAGCCCCTTTCTAATGGCATCAAGACAATGCCAGGTCCTGGTGTGGACCAGTGACCCCCAGTCTCCAGCTCACCAGCAGATCCAGGCTCCACAGCCACTCCTCACGGTCTCCATCCACATTAGTTAAGCTACAAAACATTTTCTCCCTTCCAGTTTTGATTTTCTTCTTTAGGTAGTCATGATAAATATGAACAAGTCACTACGAAAGCCAGCATCTTTTCTTGGCTTTGCAGAAGGGAAACTGCCCCTCTCCCTGCAGCCGGACCCTTGTCCCCACCAAGACCTCATTCCCACTGGGCAAAGCCCCTGACTTCAGTGCGAGCGTGGCCTCGCTGCTGTGTGGGGCTTCTGCTCATGAATCATCTCTTACAGCATAGAGGGTTTTCGCTGGCGTCGAACATCTGATCCCCTTCTTGCCATAGCCCATGGCACAGTTCCCAGACAAGGAGCATCAGGTCTAAAGAGCATTTAGCACAATTACGCTAAGCACGGTTTCTCTCAGTTTTGACCTCATACCCCTGCGTATAAGGTCAAATATTTAAGGGCAAGGTCTTTCCCCTATCACCTTATTGGTTAAAAATCAAGCAAGGGGTAGGCGTGATGAAAAGCGTGACAGTTGTCTAGAAGGTCACGCCAACATGCTACCGCAGAGCTGTGCCTGTGATGATGATGTTTATAAAGCCATCATCAGGAGGCAGGATATTAATAACAACCTCACTACGTGCTCTTCATCGTCCTGATTGCAGATTAGGCACAGTGGGCTGCAGAAGGCCTTTAATGATTTTACCTTTTATTACCATGATATTTAAAAGCGGAAAATGATGGGGAGGTTGGCTCCTGCCAATCACTCATCTCACTGGCTTCAGCCTACGGATTTAGAGGTCTCGAGTGTGGCTCAAGCTGCGGTGTCACGTTGCTGCCCTGGATTCGTCCGGGGATGGGCATGATCTGAACGTGGGGCTTTGGGGACTGGACAGACAGTGAACACCAGCCATGTGAGCTTCGGGGGGTGAAACATCCCCAAGCAGCCATGGGGAGGTCAGTGAGATCCACACAGCCAGGTCCTGCGGTGCTGGTGGGGAAGAAGGGGGGGAGGAAGGCATCACCATGCAGGGAGAGACCTGTGCAACACAGGGAAGTGCTGGAGAACCAGCCCTGGGCTCACTGGGCCCTGCCTAGCTCTGGATGTGGAGTCCTCAGCGTACGGCCGTGCCAGCCTGAGCACACCGTCTGCCACTGCGGGCAGCTCCTGGCATGGCCAGTGCCGAAGGCTCCTCGCACTGCGGGGCTCCGCACCCGGCACCGACAAGCCTCTACCGAGGGCAAATGTAAGGCCACAGAGAGCAAAGGAGCAGAAAAGTACCACACAGCCCTGCTGTCACCGGTGGACAGAAGCTAAGGGAGAAAGCCATCCGTGCCTGGGCAGGCAGGGCACTCTGGCAGGAAGATTCAACCAGGAAGGCAGGTCCTGACCCATGGACCAAGCCTGAAAAGCAAAGAGCTGTCTGACATACTTGGGAAAGAGAAATAACCAACTTGAGAGACTCTCAAGCAAAACCTTGTGATTTCTGTTGTGTTAAGGAGCTCTCGGCTGCCCAAGTCCTCCTCCCTCCACCCCAGCTGCTGCTCGGAGGTGAAGATGGCCTTTTGATGTGCCCAATTCCTCTGCGGTTCCCTTCATCCAGGGAGGCAACAATGCTCTCCCACATGAGGAGAGGAAGAAAGACCCCGTAAGCACCTCTCTGGAAGCTGGGTTAGACCCTGCTGTAACAGATCCCTGCTCCACCCGTGCTTGCAGAATCAAGGTTTAAAGAAGGAGTGGTGCTTTGGAGCAGAAGCACTTTTTTTTGCCAATTAAAATATAGGCCAAATGACCCAGTAGAGGCAGCCTTCACAATCTGGAGGACGTTCTCTCAGAGATGGTAGAAACAGAGGCGACGCAGAGAAATTTCTCACTATTTTCCCTCATCTGATTTGCTTTTAATGAGAAGTAAAGAGACGGAAATTATTCAGAGCTCAGGAGTGAACATCTATCTATATTAAACCGGCTGCCCCAAAGATAAAAGAGTTTCCTGCCCTGTGGTTATGAGTCATGTGGACTCAGTGAAATAGTCTGGATTTATCTAGAGCTAAACTTTGCGGTGGAGCAACTGATAGCTGAAAACAACACCCACAGATGTCATGCCCTCAAGGTACAACCAGCCAACACCAGCTCACCCATGGCAAAGCCCTGGCCTAGGGGGAGGTGGTGGGAGGAGGTCCCACCTCCACTGCCTTAACAGTCTCAGTGCAGCCAAACTAAATTCATCTCAACCACAATCAGTTCTTGCTGCTAATTATTTACCTACCTACTGCAAAGCTAGGCCGCTTTGCCTACGCCCGGAGTTCAGTTCTGTGGCCATGGGATGTGTTTGCAGCCATCAGGGAGGTGGCGTGGACAGTGGGACTGCAATGCCATAAATCCACGTATCAGCAAACGGCATGGAAAAGGCTGAGGTTCTGCTGAAGGATGCGTTAGGGCTGGCCAGACTCATCTCATGAAACCAATGCAACTAGGAGGTTTTTTTTAAAAGCACATGGGGATGGATGTGCAAAAGACAACTTCATTTTAGCCCTGCTCCTGCAATGAACACAAGCAAATCCACCGGGTAGTTTGCAACATTGTGGTTTCCAATGCTGCAAATCTTGGCCTAGTAAACAGTGTTAATAATTGTTGTAATTATATGATTTTAAGTGCATTTTGTTTAAGGGCGTAGCCTCTCTGAGCCTCCAGCAGAGAACCAGTCCGTGTCAGACAGGGCTGCTCTGTCCCGCCAGTGGAGTTCATGCTCCGGGGTGGCTGGAAGGAGCCCTGCCCGCCCCCAGCCCAGTGGCACCCAGCCATCCTTCCTCCAGCACCCACACCAACAGCCCACGCCGTGCACCCACGGCACCAGATGTGCAAACCCCAGGGCGAGCGTGGGCCTTGTCCTCCCTGCCACCACGTGCACCCAGCAGGGACGAGCTGGAGGTACCCGGAGGGGCAGGCCATGACCGTCCTGTCTGGAAGACACCAGACTAGACAGAAGAAAGAAACTGTTTACGCTGGGGGGG